CACCATTTTTGTAGACAATTTAATACAAAGTTCACAACTTTCAAACAAACAAATAATTTTCTCCATGTAGTTTATAATATATATATATATATATATGAAAAAAAATCCTGCAAAGTCCACATTATAAAGATATAACTTTAACATTTAAATTCAAACTTCAACATGTGAATTAAAATTCAATATGCTGCAATTTTGCAACCATTTCTTTGTGTATTATATCATGCATGATTTTTTTTCCACATGCTAGTAATTAATGTTTCCACACACTAATATATATGATACAATCAATATTGTGTAATATATATATATATATATATATATAATGCATATAATACAAATAGTATACATCACGGAGCAATTATATTTTTTTACACAACATTGATTGTATCATATTTATTAGTGTGTGGAAACATTGAATATTAGCATATGAACACATTAATTATTAGCATGTGGAAAGTCATACAAGATATAATTCAAATTAATTTTTCTTTTCCTTTTTGTACACTTTTGATTAATACCTAAAGATGTTCAAATTTGCAAGAGTGCAAATTTTCTTACACGTGATTCTTTTCCAAACTAATGTCATCCATGACGTCAGCAAGGAGCGTGCTTATGTAAGCCATGACGTCAGCAAGAAGCGTCTAACGGGTATATTTTTGTGTATAAATAGAAGTGTTGTGTGTGGAGAAAAATCAAGAATTTGAAGAGAAAATTTTCTGTGAGCTCCAAATTATATTCTGCTCTTTCACTTTCAGATCTAAGTCTAGCTTTTGTTCTTACACATTCATATCTACTCTTTGTGAGAGAATTATTGTAAAAGTGGGTTCAAGTACCACTTATTATTATTTCTTATTTTTGTGAGAAATTTTGTAAGGGTAAGACATTTATTACTGAGTGAGGCTCAATAGATAAGAGTAAGTCTTGTGCCAAATCCACAAGCTTGGTGGTGTATTTATTCAATTGATAGTAAAGAAATTCTCAAGGAGGTTCCTTGGGGAGTGGACATAGGCTTGGCGTGCCGAACCACTATAAATCGCAGTGTTTGATTTTCTCTCTCTATCTCTCCTACTTTTATATTGATAATTATTATTCTGTTTTTTTTATTTATTAAAATTCTGAATATTGTGTTATTTTTAATATTGTGAAATTTTTAATAACCCAATTCACCCCCCTCTTGGGTTGCCTATCTGGGATAACAAAGAATTTTATAGCCAACATCGATCTTATTTGATAGATTTTGATGGGAGAATCTTAAAAATACGAATTTTATTAAAAACCGACATCTAAACCAAAAGTTATATTATTTTAAAGTTTAAAATATTAAATATTTTGATAATAGTAGTGTCTATTGATTTTTTTAAGAAATTTTTTTTATACTTGTCCTTAATGTATTAAAGTTGTATTATGAGTGTGTTTTGACCAAATTCTCCTAAATTAAAGACTGGGACTTATAATAATTTTATGTAACCTTTGGATTAAAGTTTTATTTTTCTATTATATTCAGGACTAAATTGATTCGAATTTAATACTTTAAGAACTTAATTGACAAAATTAAAACTTAAAAAACTTAAACGAAAAAAAAACATTAAACTTTAGGGACTATACCTGTAATTTATCCTAAAATTTATCATTGTTTAAAGGATAAATTAGAAATACACCCTTGGAGATTTGCTTAAAATACGATTTGCCTATGTGATTTGAAAAATTACAAATACTTCCCTGTCAGGATTTTTTATTTAAAAGAATTAATTGAAAAAGTGAAATTTCTAACTGTTTACCTATACAATAATAAAATTATCTGAATTATTAATTGAAATAAAATTTTAACATTATTAAAAACTGTTGATTAACTAGATGATTTATTAATAAAAGGACCTATTTATTAAAAAATTAGAAACTTTAGGGTGCATAATGTAATTTCTAGAATCACAGGAGATAATTTGTAATTTAAGAGAATCTCAGAGGGTGTGTTTTTAATTTACCCTTGTTTAAATTATGCCAATTATTCTTCAAAATTTTAAAAAATGTTTCGATTGGTTGATTAGGCTTAATTAGTAACACGTACGAATAAGATAAATTACAAATGAGTATTGTTATTTACACCCAAAAATTAGATTTATTTTTTAGATTTAATAATGTGTCACTTTATTAAAATATCTAGGTCAAATCTCTCTTTTATTTGTTCTCTAATCACTAATCAATCATCATCTTTTTGATATATTATTGAGTCTAAAAAGTGAATTTAAAAAATGAATTTATATATTATTATCCATTACAAATATAACCCTTAAAATTTGTTTAAAATAAGAATTTCCTTCACTGCAGGAAATTAGAGATTTAATGGCGTTTTATTAAACGTCACGTTTTTTAATTTTTAAACGGTGTTTTATAATCGCCGTATATTTTTTTAACCAAAATGGCACCGTTTTGTAATTGAAGGCGTTTAGAAACGCCTCCGAATGCGGTGCATACACGCGCCCCTTTTTGAAACCCTCATTCTTGAATCTGAGCCCTTTCTATCTCTCTTATACCCACACATCTCTCTTATCTTATACGCACACATCTCTCTCTCTCTCTCTCTCTCTCTCTCTCTCAGCGACGAAGAAGACGAAGGAGAGTACTCTTGGAAGAAGCTTCGTCTCTCGAAAGATCAATCGGCTGTTCTTGAAGAGAGCTTCAAAGAACACAAGCTCCATCGGCTGTTCAAAGCGATTTCGAAGATTCAGATAGATATCAATCGGCTGTTCAAAGCGATTTCGAAGCGATTTCGAAGATTCAGAGCGGCATGTGCATTGCTGAACTTGTCGTTGATCAACGAGAACAAGATTTCGATCGGAGCTTCCGGAGCGATTCCGTCATTGATAACGTTGTTGATGAATAGATCGAATAGGGGGAAGAAGGACACGATGACGACGCTGTACAAGCTGTGTACAGTGAAGGTGAACAAGGAGAGGGCGGTGAAGGGAGGGGCGGTGAAGGCGGTAGTGGGGCTGGTGGCGACGGAGCAGATGGCGGAGAAGGCGATGGTGGTGATGAGTAGCTTGGCGGCGGTGGCGGAAGGAAAGGAGGCGATTGTGGAGGAAGGGGGGATTGCGGCGTTGGTGGAGGTGATCGAGGATGGGTCGCCGAAAGGGAAGGAGTTCGCCGTGATGACGCTGTTGCAGTTGTGTGGTGAGAGTGTGAGGAATAGGGGTTTGCTTGTCAGGGAAGGTGGGATTCCTCCATTGGCAGCGCTTGCTCAAACTGGTACTGCAAAAGCCAAGCACAAGGTCAATTTAGTGAAATTTCACACTACTTTTTTTTTATTTATTATTTTATTAATTTTTTGGGAGGTAATAGAATCTCCAACGTCAATCAAAAAATTTATTAATTTTGAGTAAAAACTTAATAATAGGGGTAATTTGATATCGTTTATTTCAAGGTTGAATTAGAATTTTTATCATATTTTTTCATATTCTATTGTCTAATAAGACGACCAAGCAGATGTCATGGAGGTCGTCCGGAGATGAACAATAAAGACTGTGGACATCTATGTTCGTATTCATTGGCTAACTATATGTATAAAAATTACCTATAATTTCCTTGTGATGATGTTTGACGGGCAGCATGAATTTTAATGCCTGATTGTTTGGTTTTGTAGGCTGAAACACTGCTAAGGTATTTGAGAGAACAAAGACAAAAAGCTTCTACTTTGAGTCCTTAGAGTTGGAGGGGTATTCACATGAGATTAGGTTTTATAATTATACTAGAGTGTTTTATAATCATTGATTGTAAATAGGAATTGTTTTGATTGTTTGTACAGAGTAGTTGAGAAATTTGGAAGTTTATGATAAAAAAAGAGAGGACAAAGAAAAAAAAAATGATGCTAGTGAGGGGGAGGAGCTGACCTTATAAGTTGTATGTATGTTATTGACTGGGTTTTTTTGGGTTTCTGGTTTCCTCTGTCTTAAATTGTTATTTTTGTTAGAAGGTTAAAACTTGCTGGCCTAGAAGTGGGTTTTGGATTGATTAAGGATTTGGGTTATGCTTTGTTTTCCAAATTCTATTGGAAATATTGCAGATTGTAGATTCTTCCCTTTATAATGCTATTACTTGTTTGTTATGGTACATGTACAACATTTATGTATATTGCTTCGTCTAGGTATTGAATTAAGCGACAATCGCATATCAATGGACAATTTAAAAAAAAAAAAATTGCATTAGGTGCTGGCACTCGCTTTGGTACTTATGAAATTTTGACAGCTTTTTATGATGGTATATTCTTCATTCTATGTGCAGTTAGAAGTTATTGTGTTTGTTCTTAATATTATTCTATGTGCAGTTAGCTGAGGTGCCTGGGAATGTTGATATGGTTATCTTCCCAAATTATGTGAGTGAATTGGTTTTCTTTTAAATACTTATTTAGTACTTAATACTATGAATTTATACTACTGTTATCTAGTAAGTAGTTGTATATGTTGTAATGTTAGTTCAAGCATTCACTTGGTTCATTTGAGATTCATTTGATTTTGCTGTGATATCACTCAATTTCATTTGATTTTGTTGTGATGTTGCTGTGGTAGAGGGCCTGGGAGGAGTCAAATGAGATTTTGCTATGATTTTACTTTGTTTCAAAAGCCATTTCATTTGATTTTGCTGTGATTTTGCTCTATTTTAAAACTCTACCCTTCTTATTTAATATTTTTTAAATCTTTTTTAATAATCAACAGAATTATAGAAGAGTTGTAGTGATCTTATTGTTACAGATTATGCTTCTACACATTTAATATTCTTGGCTGTGTTGTTAATATGATGCTTTATATTATTACAATCTATGGTAAGATTATGTGAATTTAAGTATATTATTAGGACTTTCATGTATATTCATTGCATTGGCATTACTGGATGTTGCCCAACATGTTTTGAATTTAAGAACTATCCATTTTAAGCTACTTGTTGCTGGAAACCTATGGTTTTCTGATGGTAAATTTGAGAATGAAGTTTTAAGACTTGATCTCTCAACTGCAAGCTGTAAAAATTGCACTCAAATTTGTTTGGCTGCCAAAATTTCAGTGAGTTGGTAACACACTATGATAGTATCTATGACATGGTTTTTGGCAAAGTTAGTTTTGGGAAATTTCTTCAAGGTAAATTGTATGGAAAACCATTCTTCCCTGCTATTGGTGATTCAATTCCTATATCATTTATAGAAAGAAGAGGTTCACCTGAGTTTTCATGGATATAGTTGAATCCTTAGATGTATCCATAGTAGAATTTAGAAGTCTTGTGGTTGGTGGCCTTGAAAGATATGTATAGATGGAACTGCACCAAAGTGCTATCTTGGATTGGTGATAATAAATGCATAGATTGAACCACTTGGGCCTCATTTGGATGTAGTTACTTTTTCAATTCTGAAACTACATCTGAGTGCCACCGAGAACTATGATGTTTGAATTTTTGCAAACAAAGGTATAGAACAGGAAGCAAAAAAGGGCATAGCATAATAAATTGAACTCTGGTTAGGCCCCAGTTACCCACAAATTAGAGATTTTTTTTAAAATTTTTTTACAGTTAGACTAATTAATTTGTTAAAGTTAGACCCTATTAATATTTTTTTATAGATAAAATCATTAATAACGTCAAAACAAATAATTTATATAATGAGTGAGAGATGAGAATCGAGATATCATTGCACTGCAGTACCAACCTTTGTCATTTCTGAGCAAAACAGAAATGATAGATTTCGTGTTGTAACTTGTGTGTATGATGTATATAGTGAATATGATCATCTATATTAGTTTAACATCATTCAATGGCAAATAATTTATATGTATATTTAATATTTTTTATATATTTACATATGCAATTAGGTTTGCAGGGTTGCCTAGTGCCTTTGTCCACACCCGGCCCAAATTTATTTGGGCTTCTAAACATTTTGCCCAGGTCTACTCATAATTCAAATATATATTGCCTATGGCCTAAAATTTTTTTGGTTGGGCTCGGGTTGCTCCAAATGGTCCCACCCAAGTTGCACCCTATTGTAGAGTGCGGGCCTCGTTTTAGAATGAATGTAGTGCTGACAGTGCTAATGCTAGTACTAAAGTAAGTTAAAGCTGAAGTGATTGTTGATATCCTCATGTTTATATTATCAGGCAGGGAAAGGTGGAGAGTTAACACATGATGAAACTACTATTATCTCTGGAGCTTTGGATTTAACACAGAAGACTACTAAAGATGCTATGACACCTTTATCTGAAATATTTTCCCTTGATTTGAATTCTAAACTAGACGAGTACACTGCAAAAAACTTACTTCGATCTCTGCATATATTTACGCCATTTTCTACTTATAAGTTTATTTATGAGATGACATATATGTTTGGTTTGGTTCCCCAGGGATACAATGAGCTTGATAATGAACAAAGGGCACAGTCACATACTTGTCTATTCAGGAAGCCCATCAAATATTATAGGCCTTATTTTGGTAAGCATATGGTGGAACCTGTAACAACCTGTTTGTTTGTGTTCATATTTTTTATTCATTTTTGTTTTTTTGTGTTTTAAGAGAAAAAACAACGGAAATTAACTATTATGACATTTTCTATGATTGTTAGGTAAAAAATTTAATCAAATGTTGTGCTGAAGACGAAACACCAATCAGAATTCTTACCATCAAGAGAATTCCTAGGTACAAAATTTTATAAATGTATTTTGGTCTTGAATTTGCAAGTAATGCCATAAATATTTTTATTTTTTCTTATTTTTTGTGCGTGATTTTATCTGTGAAAGGGTGGAGGACAGTTTACCACTGTATGATATACTGAACCAATTCCAAAAAGGGCACAGCCACATGGCTGCTATTGTGAAGAGCAAGCACAATGTTAAGGACACTGCAAGAAATGCAACAAACAAAAATGACATGATCATGATAAACATCAATTCAAACTCATCAATATTACAAAAACAAGCAGAGGGAAAAGGTAATTTCTTTCAATACTTTAGGTTCTTTACATTATAATCCAAAATTCCATTCACCTGATCATGTAACTGACATTGCATTGCGTACAAATTTCCCAGATTTTGGATATATTCAGTCTATTTATTAAAATAAAGTCCAATGGAACACAAGGAAACTTGTCGTTATATTTTGGTCATTGCTATTTCCTTTTATAATATATAGGAATTGAGATCAAGCAACAAAAGAGTATTTCTACACATACACCACCATTTGTGACTTCTAGCGACACTACTGAGAGTCAGAGTCCAGCATTACAGTACATAGCGGAGCGATGCAGTGACAGTTGGAACCTCCAACCAAAGAAAGGAGGTGAACAAGGAGATGCAAATAAAACAAAGGAAGTTTTGGAATCACTTCCAGATCAAGAGGAAGAAGTCATTGGTATCATTACTATGGAAGATGTTTTAGAGGAACTCTTACAGGTTAGTAATATATATAACTAATTAACTAGTATTAATAAATACTATGATGTACTTCATGCAAATGTTATTTTGTGTTCCATTATAGTTAATTAATATTGCTGCTTTAGATATAACTTATAGAAATTAATTCTGTCCAAGTACACAAAACTAGCTTCAATATGAACGCTTTTCTTCCATATAGGTGATAGGAAATTTCGTATATGTAAATATTAGATCAGTCCTTTCATATATGCTTTTCTTTCCGCAAGCCTTCTAGGTATCTTGATAAAATACCTAAAATTTTATTCACAAAAAAGAAAAAGAAAAAAAACAGTAATGGTTTGTGGTTCAAATTCTTTTTAATTTAAACCTCACCATATCTAGACATGGCACTGTTTTTTCTGAGTTCTTTTTCTGGGTACATAGACTTAATGTGTTTTTTCTGTTGATGAACTAATATTTGTGTTTTGTTTTGAAGGAAGAAATACTGGATGAAACTGATGAATATGTTGATGTTCACAATAAGTGAGTTACAATTCCGCGTCTGTTAATTGATCATTTGGTTATGTTTTTGTGTCTATGGAAACAAAACAAAAAAAAGAGATGTTTAAAAAATACCTATCATTTTCATCATTTTTATATTTGTGAAAACAGTTTCCAAAAAGGACCTGTTTTCGGAAAAACAAGTTTTGTGTGTTCTGCAAAAAACAAAACAAGAAAACACATCCAAAGAAAAGGTTTCAAGTGTAATATATTTCAGTTCTGTTAGTTACTAACTTATTGACTAATGATATACACCAATTTACTATGTTTTGTGTCAGAATTAAAATAAACATGCTTCCTACAAGGAAGTCACAATCAAGATCTGTAAGAGCACCTTCTCATAGAGCATGGTGAACGCCAATGGCAACTCCACTATCTTCAGGTCATCAGACACCAGTTTCTTCTTATCATCACACTCCGATACTACGGTCCTCAATTTCACCCTTTGTTCAGTCTCCATTTATACGACCAACTCTCTCTGCTTCCCTTGCTAAATCTACACCAAATTCTCCATCCATTTGCACCTCTCCATCCTCACACTAGGTATGTCTAAATTTTCAATACAATTACTGCTTCATTGCTCTCGAGTAATATGCTTCTCATTCAATTTTCTGATATGTACTGCTTATGTTTGAGATTAGAGGAAAGGAGTGGCTTGGTTGAAGTCTTTTTCATCTCTTGTTAGGCAAATACTTGATGTGTTTAGCGTGTTATAATCTATGTATGGTGAAATTATCCTCCTTGAATAGCACTTCAATAATTTTCAAGAATTT